AGCGAGTGCGAACGCTGTGTCGGGTTGGTGTCCCGACTAATAATCGTAACGCAGCTAAAGGGAGTGCGAGGGAGATAGATATATGTTGACAATTTATAAAGCGTATAACTTTTTAATGAATGGTCCGATTTGAAAAATGTCTTCTACATTTCGATAGGTATAAATATACACAACAAAATTGCATATATACTTCTCGGAAATCTTTAAAGATGTGGGCGCAGGGCCCATTTTAAAGTCGTTAGTGGGCGATTGTGGGCGTTAGAGGGGGCGTGGCGCTCGGCTAAAATAAACTTGCGCTGCGTAGGAAGCCAAAGAATATGTGTGGGAAATCTCAACCTTCTAGCTTTTGTAGTTTCTGAGATCTCAGCGTTCATACAGACAGACAGACGGACAGACGGACAGACGGACAGACGGACAGACGGACAGACGGACATGGCTAGATCGACTCGGCTAGTGACCCTGATCAAGAATATATATACTTTATGGGGTCGGAAACGCTTCCTTCTAGCTGTTACATACTTTTGCACGAATCTAGTATACCCTTTTACTCTACGAGTAACGGGTATAATTATTAATTCTAAAATCAGCATAATACCGACAAAACATGATAAAAAGAAGACTATCGTTTTAAAAACATTTTTAATTTTGAAAAGTTTATCTAAAATATTTGTTTAATAAGAAAGCTTATGTATTTCAAAGCAAATTTATTTATTCATATTTCGTAGTCATATTCTTCGTTCAAGTTAATAAGAAATAGATTAGAATTAATTGTTAAAAAAAAAAGTAAACTTTCAGTGCATTACAAAGAAATGATCTGTTGCTAGACCGTCAGCTTGGGGATTTCCCTAGGGAAAAGCCGGCAAAAATCCTGTGCAAAACTCACCACAGTCGAAAAAAAACGGAACCCAAGTACGAAACCCACCCCGCCCAAGCAAATAAATGAGGTCAGAGCGCTGAAATGCTTGCACATTTCTCTCCCAAAAAAAATAAAGGGGATTCGCAATGGGGGAATACCGGAAAACGGGACTGGTAAATATGAGATATAGGAAGGTAAAAGCAAGGAAGAGGAAGACGCACCCAATAGCAGCAGTTTCACCTCCGAGGCGGCTCTTTCGCCCTCCGCCCGCAAGGCGCGATCGATGTTCTTGGACCGTTCGATGGCCTCTTTATCGCGTGCTGTACTCACGGCACAACCCATATTCGCTTTATGTCTTTATCGCGTTTCGGTACCGGGGTCTTGGCAACAGGGCTTTTCCGCTTTTCCGCCGATTTCCGCACTTTTCACTCGCGATTTTCGACGATATTCGAGATGCGTCTGCGCGTCGGCTGTACACTTTTTTCGACTCTTTTTTTTTGTTTCCACCTCTCCTCCTTTCACACAAACACACCACACATGCGCAGGGGCACGCACACACACACGCACTTAGGGGATCTGCAGTCTCGTAGGGGTTTATTGCAATCAATTAATCTGAATGCACGCTATTTTTGGGTTTATTTTATAGCGGCAAAGCCGATTTAATTCCTTTTGTCGTTTAATTTCCGCCGATTTTCTATGCGCAATATGAATCACTTTTGATCGTTTTTGTTTCGTTCGGCGTTTAGTATGACCGCGCAACCAGCGATCAGTAATACCGTTTGGGAAAATACTTTGAATACCAACTTTTTGAAGTATACTAAAAATATTTAAAATTGTCCCTGGTTTCAACGTGAGTTTTATCGATAATTTAGCCAATTTGTTGCAGGAAACTCACTGAAATGGAATTTTTAAAAGCCTGTTTAGAACGAGGAAGTTTTAATAGTTCTGAAATAGTCCCCTAAGAAAAAACCATTGATCATTAAAAATGTTTAGGAAAATTAAAACCCGATAACGCTAATCGAAAACTGCGGTAGCCCTGGCATAGGTTGTGAACATGGCTAATTTTGCTAAGAGCAACTGTGACGTCATCTGGACGGTTACTTTAAGCTGCCAACTCGTTTTATGTACCCCCTTCTTGGGCGGTAAATTTCAAATTAATTCCATCGGACGACAAACATTTTAATTGCCATTACTTTGTATGCTTCCCACAATAATGCCAGTAAAACGATCTTGTTCGCCTGGTCAGCCATCAGGCATAATTTCATTATGCCCAACTTGCCCTTTGCCATTCGGCTCTTGTTTGTTGTTATAGCGCTTTAAGTGTAAATAAACATAGCCGAAAATATGATGTTGCTCGGAAATGCAGGCGATCGTTCGTTTCCTCCGCAATGTGCACGCAAGCCGGAGGGAAAAAGTTCTCAGGGCCCGGGCATAAATAATATTTGCCTTTGGGACAATACAATTTCGATTTGGATTCCAAATGTTTGCAGATGCATTTGGTGGTGCTACAGTCGCTCTTCTTTAAAGTGAAATATACATATCTCAAAATAATTAATTTAAAATTTTGGATTAAGATATACTTTTTGGTATATATTTAATTATGAAAATCAAAAATGTTTCTTGAAACATAGTACATATTTAGTAAACAAAATATTACGCAGCCAAACTTTAGTTAATCATTTTTAGTACTTACAATGCTTATTTATCAAAATTTATTTAATTTAGGTTTTTGATTACATAATTTTTTAAATAGAAAACTAAATATTAAATAAGGAATAGTAATGATATTAAATTGTTTATTAAAGTTAAATAATAATATTAATTTATTTTAAAAAATTGTTTCCAATTTAAATTCGATTTGTGGAAGTTCTCCTGCCTTCCCAAATCGAAGATATTAAAAGAAATTTGTGAATCGGGGAGGGCTTTCCGCAGCTAATTTATCTAAACAAAAAGATACAAAGGCAGGAAGACGAGGAGGATGAAGATGGGGTCGCAGTGCAAAAGTTTCGCCGCCGCCGGAGGACGTCACATGTGGCCCCCTGAATAACCTCCCCCTCCCGCGTGCGCCCCTGTAAATAAAGGCCATCAACGGGTCATGATTTACACATGTTTACACGAAACGTGCGGCATTTGTCGAGGGGCGTAGAAAAGGGGGGGTGGTGGGAACAAAGGGGATCCCGGGGTCGGAATCGGAATCGTGATCCCGCTGCCTTATGAATGAATATGAATGATCGTTTGTGTGCTACCCTACTTCCCTTCCCCCCCTGTAATTTATCGTAAAAAGCGCAGGCTAGAGAAATATGGATTTCTGCGGTTCTCCATGGGTGTGCGAGGGAGAGGGTGCCATGCTGCACTTTGGGTGGTCCCTCATCCCATCTCGGTCGCACTCATTGGCTGCAAACGAGGCGCATGCTGCCCGCATTGGATTCCCGAACTGTTTGCTGATGCCAACAGATTTGACGAATGTCGGCACATTTCATCCAAAACTTCAATCGCCATCGGGCCGAAGAAGAGGAAGACTAAAACAACAAGCTGCCAAGAAAACAGCAGCTAGAAGAAGAAGATGAAGGAGCAATTACAAGGATGGGCAAGGCCTTGAAATAGATATACCGTTAGCTAACCCGCACATACCATGCACAGGGAGAAAATTTTGAAATCTGGTTTATTTTTAAAATTTTCATCCGATTTGTAAGAAGTTTGGGATGTGGGTGGGAATTTCAAAAACAAAGTTATGGTCTTATTAGAGTAAACTATTGTTTTAATTTACAATTTTGAATTCACACATTTAAAAACTCCATAAATCTTATCATTTATAAATGCAATATCAAAATATTTTTTCCAGTGTCTAACACAGAGTTTGGCACATGTGTTGTGGCACTGGGCAAACTCAAGATTGAGAAGATTAATTTCCCCGATAATTCGGGAAGCTGAAAAATGTAGTTTTCGGATGAAATCTTTTGCTGGCCGTTGAAAGGTGAAACAGACAGGCGGGAAAACCCCTCCATTCCCCCCATAATCACCCATTTGCCGCTCCCCTTTCAATCTGCAGTCGCAGTCAAGTGAAGTTGCAGTCTGCAGACGCGAAGCGTTTAAAAAGTATTGATGGATTCGATCGTCGGATGATCCAATTGATTTTCGGCACTTTTTCAAAAGGCGTCAAGGGGCCGACAAGTAGAGAAAATAAATTTCTAGAGAAAGTGGGGAGGTCTATTACCGTTATATCAGTATTGTACAAATAATTAAAATTATAATCCTGATGATAAACTAGTTTTGTTAGTCAAAATTTTCCTTAAATTTTGTTTTCAAAAAATTCACAAAAGTTTACAATGATCGGAAATCTTTTGACCGGTTTCTTTCCACCAAAAGATCCGATCCATACATTGTCCTGTGAAAAATAGACTATTAAAATTGATTTATGTTTCATAGATGTTTCCTTTGCCAAGCCAACATTAAAGATACCCCAGACCCCGAGTAACCCCATTAATCCAATAAATTCCAACGATTTGCCAACGAAATGAGGCCGCAGAATCGTAAAGGCAGAGCGAATAATCTCTTTAACTAAAATTAGCCGTTTCGATTTGTTTACACTGCGATAAAGTAATAATTACCCCAAAAAACAGCAGAGAAACGAGAATATATTACACCGAACCATTCGATCAATCGCCCGCCAAGGCAACAAAAAATATAAAAATAAAAAGAGAATGGAGCTGGGAAAAAAGTATTGTCTTGGGCCGACAAGTGTGACGATGGTTGGGGGTTTTCCATAGATATTTTTTGTTTACATCTCGCAAAGGAAAACCCGAAAATATAGATCTTACATGGCCATACGGTTGCAACCTGCGTGGTGGAGAAAAAAGAGGAAAATCGGTACGCGGCAGGAAACAAAAGTCGCTGGCAATGCAATTGAATTGCCATAAAAATGGGAAGAACCGAAAAGTGGGGGAGTGAGTAAGAACCATTTACTAGCCACCCACCCACATTTCGGATGTGGAATTTATTAGTTTCCCGCGGGCTTCTGGATTTCGAGTAATCTTTGTCATGCATCTGGGATCTGCGAAAATCGCAGTTCAAAGACTGCAACTATAATTTTAAGCACCTGCCAGCTGATATTCTGCAGTTTCCAACCGAATAACAATGCCCATAGTTCATCCAAAACGATCGCTTTTATCTATCAATTGTATTCGCTTAAAATTTTGATACGTTTCCCTGGTCAATCTCGCCTTTCTTCACCATCCCATCCTCCGTCTGGAATCTTAGACATCGTAAACGGCCCATGGAAATGATGTTATATCACTTGTCTAAGTCTGGGCATTGCCTGTTTTTCCTAAGCTATTTTTGCCAGATTTTAGTTGATGCTTTATGGCTTTATAATGTCTGTGCACGTTCCGTTTTATGATCTGCCCGTAAAATGGACCCGATTCATGTTGGGCCCCCGGCAACAATATGGTAATTTGTTGGCCATTATATGATCTTATATGAACGGGAAGGGGTGACTTCTGGTGTAGCCTATGAGGGTTTTGGGAAAGAAGATGATAAAAATGTTACAGTACTGAGATAAAACTTGGATTCCTTACCTAAGACCTCTTTGGTTCCTCTTCCTCGGCCACCTCCTTTTCCTCCTTCCGAAAGGATTGGCATTTCTCCACGAGCTTGCTGAAGAGTCCTTTCTCACTTTCCAAGGCCGTCTGATGGCGAAGGATCAGCAAAGTGCTGCGGCACTGTAACAAAAGTCGGGACATTTTTGAACTGCTCTCTAGATGGAAGTGTGAAAAACTAAAAAGTGATTGGGGAAGATTCCAGTAAGGTTGAACTTTTCTTCAGGGCAATCTATGATTTCACAAAGTTCGTGATTGGAATTTATAAAAAATACTTCTGGAAGTGTCAAGAACTTTAATTTTTCTTGCAATCATCTCCGGATTTGCCATCTGAACCTTTGGGTTTGTTTTTGCAGCGAGGAGCTGTGGGAAATACAGCTATATGCGAAAAGATTTTATTAGTTTTATCAACTATATAAAAGTGGTTAACTTACGTCTTCCACATAGATCAACTTTTTTCTTCTTCTTGTCACTTTTTTTGGCTCCATCGTCCTTACAAGAATCCTTACCCGAATCGCCTTTATTTGCCGAACCCGAAAAGAGGCGCGGGCTCATTAAACCTTTTCTTAGTTTCATAAGCCCCATATTTCGCATTCTATACATGTTTTAAATGGTTTACCGAAGGATTACTTTTGAAATTTTGATTTTAGACAACCGAATAGATTACACAAAATATTTTAAATGTTCATTTCAAAAGTTCCTGTGATTGTAGGTACTCAAAAGATTTTTTTTAATATTTTATTTTTCTGCTATTCTATTCTGAACTCTTCCTACCAAAACTCCTTAGCCAAAGCGATTTCTTAGCCAGAATTCCATGAGTAGAGTGACATGTGGGTGATCCGCTTCTCAATTCCGCTTGGCTTGCGTTTTCTGGGCTCGGTTTTCGGTTTCAGTTGCAATTACAAGCCGAGTTTCCAGTTCCGCGTGGCTACCGCTTCCCAAATCGATCTCAAGTGGCGACCACACATTAACCACGGCCAGTGATTTAGGGAAAGGGAGCTGGAAAAGCGGGGAAAACGTCGTGGCGGCGCCACGTCAAAATATTTGTCGTCAGCGCCTCAATTGGTTCGATTTATGGTGCGGATAATTAGTCGACTGCTGCGTCAGGATGTCGCCGTCGATTAAACCAAAAAAAGGAAAATTTACTTTTACTTTTGGGCTAGATCCACTTGAACGCGATACTGGTCTGCATTTCTGATGTTTGACTTTTTACTAATGATCTGGTGATGATAGGTTGTCAAGAAATTGGGACTGGGTATGTTGCTAAAAATAAAAAGGTATTAAAGGATTGGGAAATTGAGCGAAAGGATATTTTTAAGTAAAGCGTAAAAGATCTCGAACTTTTAAACCTCATATTATTTTCTGAAGTTAAAATTTAATTTTAATAATTTAATTTTTGATTTATTGACTTTTGCAAATAAACCAAAATAAAACAAAGTTTTTAAAAAATCAAAAAATTAATTAAAGTCTATTTTCCATTTATTATCACAAACCCGAAAAAAACTGTCAGTTTGAAGCAGAAAATCCTTGAACTGTACCAACTGATCCCTCGATTCCGTAATCTTGCAAATTTTAAAGGCTGATTTTACCTTCAGATTTATAAAAACCATTTAGGCTAATAGTTCCAGCACTCGACTGTCAAGCTATGGAACACCACCCATGACATTTCAATATTGAGCAAGCGTGTTTTTTCCCCGGATCCGCTTATTTTTAGGCCTCACAGGTGCGCTGCCCTCGAAGGCCAGAGACTGAGACCCGTAAAAAACGCGTCTACAAAAGCCCTGGAAGAACAAAGCGAACGACACGGAAGAATTGGTGGCAATGGGAAGAGAAGAGATGGGCGGAGGACCAATGACGACAATGAGCGTCAAATGAAACGAAACAGATGCCATTCCAGCCATTGGAGGCGATCGGAGATACAAGATCGAGATCATCGATTGCGGAATTGCAGGAGAAAGAAGACCGAAGACCGAGAGATGTGTGATCACTGATCAGCCATTTTGGCAAGGGTGCTTAAGCGGGAAGATTAATTACTGCCAACGTTGCGGAATCGGTCGGCCGATGAAAAGCGAGTAAATCCCCAGCGATCAGCGATCAGATGCTCAATTTCAGTTTCCTGTTCCTCGGTTCGCCTGTGAGTCAACGCATTTTAAGTACCGGCCATTAAACTAAAAGCTAAACAATAACGGCCAAAGTGGAGAATCGGATGCGATCGGGTATTGTGTTTTTCGGGCATCCGAAGTGCCCAGCGTTTCTTTTTATTTTTTGGGTCTTTTCCAAAGTAATTTGTAGAACGCCCTCATCGATTCTGACCCGTTTCTTTTTTTTTTTTTTTGTTCTCTTAATTTTTGTACATTTGGCGCAATTATTGCGCACCAAATGGATCGCAAGTCTATAAATTGTTCGATTTTATTGCGCCAGCTTCGACAGTTGAATGGCGCAAAGCGCCAAATGGGGTGGGGGCTTTTTCTGGTTTCTGAAGGCGTCTCTGGACTTTTACTGCGTCTGCCCATAGTTTGCATAGTTTGGCAATGGCATCGACAAGCCAGCGGCAGATTCTCTTGGCCATCTTGCGCAAGGCGCCCATCTTGGATTTGGATTTGTATTCACATTCACACACTCGTACATTTCACAGCGGCCAAGGTGTTTATGGCCAAGAGAAGTGCCAAAGTGTGGCAATCGTTGGTCACAACAGGAGGCGAGATCGAAAATGCAATTAACCGAATTTCCAAGGCACAATTTTGTGCTAAAAGAACAAAGGAATTTTCATTTTTATGTTCGGCAAAACTAATTTAAATCGGTTCGAGCGTATTATTTATTCTTATTGAAATAAATAAAAATATTTGCCGATCCTTGAAATAAAATATTAGATTCCATTCATGTGCATTTTATTGAATTTTTAACTAAATATTTAACTAAAAACAACCAAGGAAAAAATAAAATTTAGTCAATTTAATAACCGGTTATTATATTAATCGACATAAAGGTTCTAATATTTCTCCACTTCTTAGTTCCTCAAAAAAAAATTGAAGTAGAATTCTCAGTTCTTTGAAATATTCTATGTCAAATAATTTAATATTTAAATTTAATTTGTTTTTTTGTTTATATCCTAAGCTCCAATAAATAGGTATTCTTTAAAGCGTTAGACACATACATCCATTAACTTTAGAAATTATTTACAATTATTAAAAAAATGACATTATCTTAACAAATAGGAAAAATATCATTTATTACCAATATCTCTTTATAAAACTCATGGTTAGCTAACCATTTTATTTAAACCCCTAGAAGGCGCTAAAAGTTTCTTCCATTTATCTAGCTTTTCTTGAACTCATTAAGCCATTTTCCGTTTCCGTTTACTTCGGACCAGATAAAATTTACCAACACACTCTGTTTAATATCCTGTGTCGTTCCTATATTTATAAATCGTTGCAAAAATGCCTCCCTTCCCCATGAATTTACCTTTTTGAACTTTAAGCAATCATTTCGGTGTTTATACCACTCAAGTTTGTCAACCGCATTCGCCCAAACAAGATCGAATCCACTTAACCAGAAATGCTCGCATTTAATGGGAAATAAAGCGTGGAAAATTCATAAATATTTACAAACACATAATTATAGTCGTGGGAAAGAACAATAACAACTTAAACGGTGGCTGGTTTAAAAAATAGCAAATAGAGCGGTGTTTGTGTATTTCATTTTGGGTTTTTTTGGCCACCGCACAACACGTGATCCTAATCAAGACTGTGATAAACAAAAATGGGATCAGATCGGAATAGGAATCGTTGGGAGTGAGAGATCTAAGCAACAAATTGCACACGGCCGAATGTAAATATTTAAACAAAGTCTTGACCAACCGAAAAGATGGGCGAGGGGCAGCGAAGTTTAACTAGACGGCATAATTTTCGGTTCGAAAACTCTATGTAAATATTTTGATATTTTTTTTCGTGTTCAGATTTTCCCTCTATCTCCCTGGTTCTATTTGATTATTTATTGGAAGACTGTTTAATAAGCCCGGAGGCGGGGGCGTTGGCGGGGGGCGTGGCTATCGAGGATCGGTTTAGGTGCAATTGTTTGCTTTCACCCGTTGTTGTAGGTCAGTGTGCAAAAACAAATCCGAATGCGGCTTCTTCTTGTATACAAAAGTTGTGTTGGTGGTTGATGGTTGCTGGTTGCCCGATCTGTTTAGAGTACAGCGTTTAATTGTTAAATGTTTATTAAAACTACAGTTTAAACAATGCCTGGGATGCGATGGCGAGGCCCATTATCCATTATCCAGGAGCAGCCAACGGGCATCAATGGGATCGCCTGGGATAGAATCGAAGATCGGCCGGCTCAACGCGTCGTATACATAATTTTGTTTACAAACAGCCATAATAGTAAACAATTTTCGGCCATTTAATAACATTAACATTAAAATTAAAAGCAAAACAAGAAGAGAAGCGCGCCTTCCGTCTATGCCAACTTATCTTTATTATGATTATCTGAACTTGAAAACGGAACAACAATGTGAACTGATGACGACTTTTGTTTGGGAATTCCCTAGCCAGTGTTTATGGATCATCTGTGTTATGACCGCAAGAAGAGCTCATCCACAGGTTATGGCGGATAGATTTGCTTCGTGGTCTATTGACCAAGTCTATCGGAGTAAATACAAGATGGCCGAAAGTGCACAGGCGGAACTTTTGACCCAGTTAAGATGACGCATACGCTGGCTGGGTGGTCGGTGCATTTTGGTCGGACACTGGCTATAAATAATCGGCTATAAAGACAAGATGTCGTACCGGGAAATGCAAAAATAAAATCATCGGAGGGAAACCATATTGGAAATTTCTTGGCAAACATTTTTCTGAAACGGAAACTGTCAAAATATGGTCTTAGGAATCTTTGATCAATTTTGCAGTAAATATTCTGTGGGCAGTAAATGTAATCCCAATCCCCCTTCTATAAATCATATTGTACAGGGAAAATGTGTAGGGCTTTTACTATTTAAAGCGATTGTACGTGGAACTTAAAAATATAAATGCACAAAAAAATGTTTATAACTAAAAAATGTTCTAACTAAATATATATAACAAAATATGATCATTAAAATTACATAAACTTAATAAATCATTAAAGATTTCTGGGAATTTTTGTAAATTTCTGCCTGGCCTAATCGAACATAATTTTCCAGATTCCAGGAATCCATCGCCGAGCAGAGCAATTAATTAATTTCCCGCCATTTCAGGGTCTGTGAGCTATTGGTGGGGCCTGCTTAATTTATTCCTCACTCGCAGCGAAAATTCCTGAATGTGCACAAAACAAAAACAGCGGGCAAAACAAAAAAAAGAGAAAAAAACGAATAAGGAGAAGTAATAATAATCAAAGTAAAATTAATTTATGGCCTCCAAACCGCAGAAGCCACAAGAAAAATGGCAAAAGTGAAAAATATCTGAATGCCCGATGGAAATTACTAAAATGCGGAGGTATGCTGAAATTCGGAAAAACCCGAATGGGGTTCTGGGAAATTCGCAGAAAATGGCGAGTGCGAGTGGCTTGATGTACGGGCGGGAAAAAAAGTGGCGGATGGAATTAAAATATCTTTCAGGCCGCCATGTCCGCGAGACAGCCAGAAAATAAAAGTAGCCAAGCGAACGGAATTTTCTCTCCTTCGATTTTCTCAATCAATGCCCGACGCCGTCGACAAATAGAATTTCGTGAAATGTAAACAAAACTCCGCCCCCGTGTGTCCCTCCACAGAATGTATCTGTATCTTTGTGCGCGCCCCTGTGTATCTCGTTTCTCTTCTTTTGGGGAACGGAACCGAGCCGAATTGAATCGTTGCCCCGGCGACACCGCAGGCGAGAGCGGGCCAGCAACACCGCCAGAGGGAGAGGGAGCATTGGATAGCGGCGTCGCCATCGTCTCCATTCAGGGGTGTAGTTAAAGGGGGGTCCCTTTTCTTCTGGGTATTAGATTTATAATTGTTAAAGAATATCAATATATCTTTAGAATCTTTTTTTAATGTTAAAAAAATCATGGAACATAAAGTTATTATTCTTACCTCTTTAAGTAAGAAAAAATATAATATTAAAATGACGAAATTATTGTCTCTTTAAATTTAAATTTTTTTAGATATAAAACCTTAGGAAATTATTTTAAAATGTCTTTAAAAATAAAAGCACTTTCCCTAAAAAAATTAAATAAAAATTAAATGAGTTTAGAAATGTATTTTTTTACTAATTAAAATGGCTTTTAATTTAATTTAAATTGTTAATACATTTTTTTATATGGAGAACCCCCTTTCTACCTTCATGTCTCCATCTCCGTCACGGTCGTCTTGCTGCCAACGAGTCGGCGTAGTGCTGACAGCAATGGCGGCACTCAGGGGTGCTGCTCTCCGGCGGTATATTGCTACCCCCCCCAATCCCCCCCGGGCTTCCAGCACCGCTCCCCTTTCCAGTCCCATTCCCGATCTCGGTCCGGATCCGTGCCAGGCAACGACTAAATCAATTAACAGCTCGTTTCGAAATTCGAATGCCGCCTCCAGCAAACGGCAGTTTCCTTTTTCCACCGAATCCGCTGGCACCGCTAAACGTTAATTCATTCGGGCTAATTGCGGGGTTCGATCTTCGAGGATCTCTTTCTGCTTTTCGACTATTTATTAACTGTTGACTGGCAGAAGGGGGGTGGAGAAAAGAGGCCTCCTGGCGGGGATGTCGATGCACAAAGGTTGTGCCAATGGTTTGACTCAATCTCAATCCGATTTCGCGTCGGAAATAATAACCATAATGAGTCAGTAATGAGTGGGTTCCGATCTCAATCTTTGGGGTCATGGGGGTCTAAATGCAGGATAGATTTAAAAACTCTTTGAACCGATTATTGCAATTATACACAGATGCCATGTTTACAAAATAATCAGTTCAGAGTGCAAAATATTGTTGTGTAAATACTGCCTAAAATTAATTATTGCAGGTATTCTGTTAATCGCAAATTGTAATTAAATGGCTTAATTGAAGATAAATATTAGGAAAAGTTTTTGTAAATTTGCTTAATTTTCTTTCTGATAATGAAGTAAATGATAAATTAAAAGGTTTAATATTTTATTTTTAAATCAGCTCTTTAAAGCATTAAGATTACCAACAATATTTATTTATTTTATGCAAGCTTAGAAAGCTCTTAAATGGATTCTTAAAGACTTATTCAAATTCTTCACATTTTTGTTAATCAGTGAGGATAAATGGAAAATGTTTAACTTATTCATTTTTAAATCAACTTTTTATAGCACTAAGTTTTCCAATAATATTTCTATTAGACTTGTTTAATTTGAGTATTAAGGAATGCTTAAGGCTATTTTCATTGATACTGTGTATTATCTTCCCCAAAGTAATAGTAATCCCCCCGGCACTCGACTTTCTCTCGATTCCCATTTAAGTTTTCGCGATACCTGGCATACCGAAGTCTTCCAATAACCGCAGTTCCCAAGTCACAGACCTTCTCCAGGGGAGAATCCTACATATATATTTTGCTTTTTCTCTGAGTGAAAAACCCTGTGACGACGATCCAATTGGCGGCGTCCGCAAAGAGAGCAACCCAAACATATACATATGCTGGAAAACCAAGAGAAAGAGAGAATATCGAGCGATTTGCGTAAGGCGTGGGCGTACTAAAAAAAGAATTCCGTCCGATGGCAACTCAAGTGGATCGCATCGGTTGGGATCGTGGTGGTATCGGCTTCGCTCCAGGACCGATCTGCCATCAGTCGAGTGAGAATAGCCAAGCGGAGCGGTCTTCCAGCGGTTAGAAAATATAGTATTCCGCCGGGAAAAACGCGCGTGTTTTAGAAAAAGATTCTTCGAAGAAAGAGATTTGAAAAATAAATATTTAAAAAATATTTTCAACCTTGTGTTGTAAAAAAATAAAAAAACTAAAGTGAAAATGATCAAGAGTGAGGAGGTGTCGGATCGCTCGGTTATGACGATGGATCAGCTGGGCTACTACCATGATCCCCGCGCCCACTCGCCCTTTAGCCATCACACCCATACCCCGCATACCCACACCCACCCACACAGTCATCCCCATTCGGGGCATTTATACCGCTCGGGGAATCTGTTACCTGGTGGCAATTACCAGACCATGGGTGGCGGTGGAGAATCACCCACGGAGTTGGTGGATGAGAAACCTAACATAGGGTACATGGAACTCAAGCATTATATGGAAGTCACGCCCACTGCCACGCCCGTTTCGGCAGCCCAGCACTATAGTTTGAGTGCCCTGCACAGCATGGGCACGCCGCCGGCCTCCTCGAGTCCCATACCACCGTATGGCGTTCTGATGACGGCCCATTCGGCGGGTTCCGCCTCCCCGCAATCGAACTCAAAGACGCCCACCGATTTGCCGCAGGATCTGCAGTACGTGAGCTCCACGTCGAAGGCTCCGCAGCCCCTGCAGGTGCAGCTGCATCCGATGAACCACCAGTACACCTCCACCATCAAGTACTGCTCGAACAACACCATTCTCAGTGCGAATGACTACCAACTGCTGACCAGTCACGAGGTGGAGCAGCAGCAGCCACAGCCACAGCCTCCCCAGCAGGTGCAGTCCCAGCAGCTCCAGCACTCGCCAGGCGGTGCCTACCTGCCGCGGATCTCCAGCTCACCCTCGCAGGTGATCAGCAATGCCCACGGGATGCCGGCCCTAAACTACTCCAGTTCGAGTTCCTCGCCTGCCAAATCTTTGAACGGCTGCGACTCCTCGCCTCCCAGTCAGAATGCCCCAGGAGGCAAGGGATCATCGGGAGGAGGCGGCGGTGGATCATCCAGTAACCAGGATAACACGCCCAGCACTCCGGACACCACCAAGAAGTCCGGCACCCGGCGGCCCGAGAAACCTGCCCTCAGCTACATCAATATGATCGGACATGCGATCAAGGAATCGCCGACTGGCAAGCTAACTCTCTCCGAGATCTATGCCTATTTGCAGAAGAGGTTAGTAATAAATATGGAAAAGGGATATCAGTTCTGAAAAGGTCCTTAAAATGCATTCCTAATAAGATTCTAATAAAGGTTAGAATTTGAATTTTTTGGGAATATTCTAATCAGTGATTTTCGATAGGGCAATAGTCTTTATTCGGAAAGATATTTACAAAGTTACGGCTATGTTAATATAATTATTAAAAGAATACTTTTAATATAAATATTGGAGGTTGCAACTTTTTCTATGAATTTGACTGTAAATCTTTTACTGTGTTTTGTAAATTTTTAACCATTTTGGAACCTTTGACTATATTTTTTTTATTCACTAGTTTTGTTTAATTTTTATATTTATTTTGTAGATTTTTTGCATTCCTTTGTCTACAATTTTTTTTAATGGTAATATATGTTTTATAAGAATGATTTCATTCTGCCCAAATTTAATGTAATCATTTTTATAAAACCTTCAATTTCTGATCGCTTTTCCCCGTTGACTAACCCGGTCTATGGAATGGTGGCGGCATCTCAGACGGAGCCAATTGGTGATATCGAGACTCCGGCAGATACGGTTATTAATACCAATACCGTTCCATGTCGGGCCACAACAAAAATGCGTCGCTTGGGTTTATTTACTTGCGTCCGATTTTATTTAGCCAACTCGATTCGCCGCATGCGCATCCTTCAGATAGCTCATATTTCGCGACTCTTGTTTGGATTTCGATTTCGGCGACGAGACGGAGATCCACTTGAGCTTTAAAAGGGCAAAGTCGGGAAAGAGGGAGAGGAGGGATTCCTTCACATGCGTGAGAGGCTTTTGAGCTGACATCGTTTGTTTTTTGTATGACGCCGAGCTCCCATCGTCCTAAAAAAAGTTTTAATTGGGTTTCGCAAGCGCAGTAAAATAAATAAACCCTCGATTATCAATTTTCGTCTTTTGTCGCTTGTCTTTAAAAGAGAACGAAAAACATAATGTTAGGCCCATAATGGCCTCTCAAATTCTTGATATGGACTCACAATTATTCTGATTTAGTCACAACAATATCAAGTATACGCATTGTACGCATACTACAGTTTATAATATTTTTGAAATTTAGGCAATATTTTAGGACCTTTAGAAACAGTCCATTGTAATATAAATTTATAAATTTTAAAAAATTATAAAAATTGTTTAAGATTAATTGGCTTATTTATTCCTTCTTACAGCTATGAATTCTTTCGAGGACCGTATGTGGGCTGGAAGAACTCGGTGCGTCATAATCTCAGTCTGAACGAGTGCTTCAAGAAGTTGCCAAAAGGCATGGGCGTGGGAAAGCCGGGAAAGGGGAACTACTGGACGATCGACGAGAACTCGGCGCATCTGTTCGAGGATGAGGGCAGCCTGAGGCGGCGACCAAGGGGCTACCGCTCCAAGATCAAGGTCAAGCCGTATGCCGGTCATGCCAATGGATACTACACTGGCAGTTACGGCGATGCCGGAATGGTAGGTCTTTAAAAGTTTTTAAAAATATTTGAATAACCTTTATTTTTTAAATTAATCTAAAAAAAATGGTATATCTTTTACTAATCAAATTTTGTTTTTTCCACCAGGACAATGCCAATTTTTATGCCTCGCCCGCCTTCGCCAGCTACGATTACAGTTCAGCCGGAGCTAATGGCGTTTCACCGGCTGGTGGTCAAGGATTTGGGGATCCCTGGAACGCCCACGCCGCCCACAGCGGCTCCTCGTCGGTGGGAATGGGAGTGGGACCTCTGCCCCAGTACTCGAATATATCCTGTCTGGCGGCGGGGGGAAATCTCAATGGTTCTGCCTCGACGCCACCGCTGGCCCACTCCTCCCTGGGAAGCCTGACCCCCTCGGCACCCCCCTCTAGTTCGCCCCTGGGATCGGCGGCGGCACTACAAAGCGATTATGCGCCAACCGCGAGTCTCGTGGCCGCGGGCTATTCCTATGCAACAAGTGCCAGCAGCCTGGACAACGGTAAGTGAATAGCTCCAGAAAGCGACGAGGGTCGAGCTACACAGCGAGAAATAGTCGGTCGAGGTATAGTTTGTCTTAGAAAAAAAGAAAAAAAACGTTCTAAAAATATTAATCAGAGAAATATGGTTAAATACCAAGTTCATTTTTGTCTTGACTTACATTCAGAAATAATAATTTATAATTGGTAGTTGTATAATAAATGCTAACTTGTAATAGGTAGCTTATATATTTTTATTTCTATCAGTAATTATATATATTTTTTTCGTTTAAAACAAAATGTTTTATTTTTCGGCTATATTAGGAAAAATACTTATTAAACTCAGAAAACCCTAGGTAAATTATTGTAAAACATTAATCATATTCGAAAATAGTTTAAGGTTTTTAAAGTTTGAGTGTATTGTCTAGAATTGTTCCCAGTGCATCCACTTGAAGGGCAGCTCTGTGAAGGGGGCTCGGATTGTTCCTGGGTGTTCGCGTCAATCAGGGTAATTTAATTGCTGACGGTTCACATCTCGAATTACGCAGAACAGGGGAAGGGAGGGGGCACCAACATATGGTAATCTATGCCGCACTCGATCGACTCCCTTTCTTTTTTTTATAGTTGCCGCCGACGTAGCGGCGCAGTGTGAATTTTAGCGCTTGTCCATAAAAAGAGAACTGCAAGTTTAATCGGTTTACATTTTATTTTTTAGGTCTCCGCTCGATTTCGCTGCAGCAGTTGCCCGGACTATCCAGCATTCAACAGGCGCAGGCTCAGGCGCAGGCGCACCATCATCACCACCATCAGCAGCACCATCCGAACCACGGATCCATCCACCAAAACCAAAACCACCCATCCATGACACCGCCGCCATCGCAGTCCGGTGGCAACCATGTGATCGACCATTCGCCCATTGATCGTAAACCGGTTTACCTGCCGCCCATCACTCCGCCCCCCACTTCGGTCGCTCTGAATGGAGGCGGCGGATATTACGAGGCGCTCAAGTACTCCAATTAGCCATCCCAGATGGGACCGCCATTCAATTCATCATTATTACCTCAAAGGATACAATAATCACGTTTAATTAGGCTCTAATGTAGTTGCATAGTGCTTAGAAGGAAAACTATTCATAAATAAATATATTATACGCCTAGCAATAGAAAACAACTATTTATAAACAAGACATGCATCGCAGCGGAATTTAACCCAAAATAATATATATTTTTAAAATTACTGACGTTTTTTGTGTAATTTATTTTTGGATGCGCTGATCAATCGATTGGGAATTTGATTTCGAGCTCAACGAAGTAGAACGTTCCCGGTTTGGACTACTTTTTAATTTGTTTCTACCAAAATACTGATTCTTATTGGTAGAAAACCAGAATCTTGGTTTTCGGTTAAAATGTTTCGCTGTAATTTACCGAACAATTTTAACAAATCTAAAATACGCCGTGCTTCGAACAGCTATTAAACTAATAAATTAATTTTTGCTACTTTCTGGCTGATTTAGAAAAATTATTATTTGTTCTCACTATGGCCTACATCACGATTATTTTTGGAAAGTATAATATCCAGGTTTAAGTGTGTTTAAGTTTAGGCGATTGGGAATTTAGTCAGAACCAAAATTCCGATTTTTTTGTTGGAAAGATATAGTTTAGATTTTTGGAAAAATGTTTAACTTGGCAAACAAACAGTCGAGTGCCTCAACTATCAGATACCCGTTACTCAGCAAATGGGAAAGCAAGTAAGATGTACAGATGAAGTATTTTATGGGCAGCATTGCTCGTCGGATGTCATTTTTGGCATCATTGGCTTGCGTTCATGTAAATTTTATGTAATTTCGTGTAAAATTACATGTACGTTAGCGCCACCTATAGTTGTCATTAGTAGAAGTATGCTACAAAATATATTAGTTTCAGATTGTATCAGAATACACCTAGGAAAAAACCTAGTCTACATTTAAGAACAAAGTTCCATATTGGTTTTTATATTTTGTACTTAAAAACTAATTTCACAAAACTTTAAATCAATTTCGGACCACAGCGGGGTCTTTCGGGTAGAGGCACCGCAACTTCGAATTTAAAATATTATCTTAAGAGAATATTAACTGCGTATTAGAAGGCCAGCTGGCCCAGTGGTTAATGTGTTTGCCTCAAAAGTTGGCGGTCATGACATCTATGTATGAGACTAAACAGGTAAAAAATAGGAAACAAATAAAACAATTTTTTATTTTTAATGGTTTTTAGGACATAAAGAACGGTCCCTAAAACTGTCTTAAGAACATTGTGCCTAAATTTAAAAACATTAGAATCATTTCTGATAAAACGTTTTTAATTTAAGAATGTTTATCATTATCCTGTTTTTTGCTCTCTGTGTATGTAGTCTGCCTTGTTTTATATGGAAGTTACAAATATCAACTAAAATAAATAATATCCTGTAAAATTCTCAAATATTTTAATTCGATTACTTATTGATATGGATCTCTTCTTATTACATTTTAGGAACAAGGTTTCCTTCCCTTTCAAATATTTTTGAGATAACCAGATAACGACAAGTTAATTGAGCCACAGCCATGGATAACTATGCAGCACCATTGACGAACTAATCAGCTTAAAGTGTCTCAAATTTCGTACACAAGCCCCGTTCGCATTGTCCGCAAGATGAACAATCCAATTATTCTGTTAATTGTCTCACCTTTATGAGCAAATTAAAATCCAGCCCAGAGTCAAATGGACCCGGGTCCAAGTCGCTGGGCAGGACGAGGCCGATGGCCATTGTCCTGCGAGGCGAAAAGGCAGCAGCAATCGCATCAAGAAGTCGTCGCCGCTGATCATTATCTCGCAGGACGAGACGCAGGACAATCCAGGGATATACGTATGCGTATATGAAGGGACAAAGCTGGCCAAAGGAAAAAAAGGGAATGGGATTGCTGCGACTGCGGCTGAGACTCAGCCGAAAAGCCAAAGACAAACACAAGGCTGGAAATGCGGAGAAGTTTTGAGTGAAAAATTTCACAGTCAAAGGATAATCGGGATTAAATCTTCTTGAAAAGTTAATGTTTACACACGCACCTACCGTTGGCGATGAGCGAAAAAAAGATGCAAAAATTATGAAAATATTGTCACAAGTGCACTGCAGCCAGCCAGCAAACCAGCAATCCAGCAAACCGGCGAACAGGACCGCAAGGATCGGCAGGACGAGGCGGAGGCTGGACCGGAGCGAACAGGACAATTGCAGGCGGCAATCAAAACATGCAATTGTCCGTTTCGTTCCGCCTCGAATCGAACTGCAAACGAACCCAAAAACCACAAAAAGGACGAAGGACACAGAACGCAGGACACTGGAGTCCGTCGTAAGAGGATTTGCGCGTCAAGTAAACACACGAACTCGAATGGTAGGAGCCCGATTGGCAGTCCCAGCCAAAAAGGATACGTATGCGATTGAGCAGAGCCTGCAGGACCAGGACGAACGAAACGAAAAACCAAATCGAAGATGCACAGCCTGCATAAATAAATAAATAAATAAAATGATTTGAACATTTTTATTTTCGCACACACACACATACAAAGAGTTTCTCACTGAGAGAGCAGCAGAAACATTTTTCTTTGCGTTAAAACAAACAATTTTTTAAAAACCGTTTGTTGCACTCGTATTTACTTTAAATTTATGCGAAAATTAAAAACGTTTTTCGCAAGGATTTTCCAGCTGCCCGAATGTTTTCATAGACGAGCCATACCAAATTGTCCGGACGACGGAGCGAAGCGAACAAAAATATAGATTTCCCCATAAACAGGGGCCGTTTCAAAGAGTTTTCCCATTGCAAATTTACCGATTCCTCTCTGAAATCCAACCACCTCCCCCGTTGAATCCCGCCAACGTCTCGAGTATGTCGCGTATTTCTCTTACAAATAAACAAAAGTCTCGTTGCAATAACATGGCATGGAATATTTATTAAATAAACATTAGACCAGCAGCCCGAGCAACAGATACGACAGGCAGTTACAACTTTGAATGGGCAAGACGATGGAGGCAAGGTGTTTTATGAATGAATTCAATCGCTGCCTGCGAAGGCAAATGTTGGATGCTAAATGGTAAAGGGCTTTGGCCAAATCAGGTAAGAAACATATGAAGGCTGCGATTTCTTGGCCCAGAATGGTGGGTGTATCGAGTTCATTGAGGCAGATATTTCAGATAACTGATTGAGCTCAATTGATTGTTTTAAGTCGCAAAAAGGTATTGAGGAAGTAAACTTAGTTAGATTTTATATTTTTAATTCAGTTTACTTCGCCCTGTGAAATTTTTAAAAGACATTGTATAAAAATCCAATAAAATTAGGAAACTTCTTTTAAACACCTAAAAAACAAAAACTTCTTAAAAGTTGTACGAGGTGTTCCAAATTAAAAAAACTCTTTTTTTATAATCCTTGAATTCAAACTAATTTGATTATTGAAAGAAGATACATTTTAAAATTAGTCTGTAATTTTAATTTTATATTTATAAACACTAACATTAAAAAAGTATCTCCTTTATAAGCATAAATTACAACTTACATAAAGATGCCCAAAATAATCATGTTTACAATTAAAACTGTCTCGAATTCTTAAGACTTAACTAATTAAAAAGTTTTTGTTGCATTTATAATATTTAATACAACATAACCGACATTAAAATGTTGTTAATTCAATTCTAACTAAATTGAATATTAAATGCCAAATGTTAGACTCAGCCTGATTTTATATCTTACCAATAAACTAAAACCATTAACACTAAACTTGCACCTCCTTCATTAGCATTCCCCACAAGACACTTCCTGGAAGACTCAGCGAGCAGCTCATTACTTAGGCAAAAGATCCACACCTCGGACACGCTCCCAACTCATCTCGCAGACCATCCCAATCCCATCGAGAGCCCAGCAGCATGGGTAGCCAGAAACACCCACTTCCCAGCGGGTTGCGGCTTGTAAGCCATAAAAATGAAAACCACAAAATAGCCACAGAAACCGCAGGACACGCGTGGAAGTGGAATCATCATCATCATAATCATCATTACGGGAACGAGGGGGGAAAACCGGACACATTGAGCGGCAGAGGTCAGGTAGTCCGTAAATCTTAAGCATCTGGGGGAAAACCCGGGTAAAAACTCGAGATTTCATTAAGAATTCCCGCGGCGCGCATTAAAGTCTAAACATGCCTAAAAAGTTTCCCCTCTTTTGGCCGATGATCAATGCCTAAGCATCGATGATTAGCCCTTGGCATCCGGTGTGTTGGCCAGGTAGGAATTATGGATTCTAGATTCTAAATTCCAGATTCTCGATTCCAAATTCCAAATGCCTTATTCCGGACTTAGCGCCGTCTGCTGAATTTCCGCTGCTTATGACCGGAAGATTTTCGCCATGATTACGCTTATGATTAGGCTAATGGCGGATATTTCCCAACCCCTTCCCGGGAATGCGTGTGTGTTTGTCTGCAACTAATCTGCTAAATTGTCTGGCCAAAAAGAGCAGACGATCTAAAAAAAAAGGCGAAAACTTTGTGAATATATGCATAATAAGCCCGCAACCATATACAAATCATAAATTTTAATGAGTGGCCAATATAGAGACCATAACTCCGGAACCACCCCGAAAAACTCTCCGTTGAAAGCCCAAAAAAAAAACTTAAATTCAGGGAAGGGGGGTTAAAGTATCTACGAACTTTGTGGGTACAGGAAACTGCAGTGTGCGAGGGAGAGAGGCTAATGGCCAACGCCATCGCTGCATCTCTTTCGCCAGTTGGCCACGCCCCCTTCTCAATGCTGCGCAGTCGTTTCTTGCAGTGTATGTGTGAGTCCCCCCTTTCATATTGGCAGAGGCAGAGAAAATGTTGCATATTCATGAGAGAGCAGTCGAGCGTGCGCTTGTATGCGTGTATCTGTGTTTTCCGAGCGTATCTGTGTGAGTTACTTCAGTGTGGTATGGGTGCGAGTGCGCATATTTCAAAGATTGAAACCGCTTTATCAGCATTTCCTTTCGTTTCCCTTTCCCAAAAACCCAAAAAAAAATCGTATTTTTTTTGGCTGCTTAAGTCCTTGGTTCAAGTGTCTGATTAGGTGCACTCCCCTGCACTTTAAAATCAATATTATTCTTGGATTACTCGGCCGAAAAAAAAGTATTATGCCCAAAAAGGGCATTGCTAAAATTTAATAATGGGCCATGGCAATGAGCAGAACCACATGTTCGGACTCATCGTTTTTCCGCCATGTGCCGCTTATGTTGGATGGCTTTCTCCAACTCAGCTCATCTCCTCACTTTTCAATCCCCCTTCATCTCTAACGGAAACGATGTCAACGTTCCGCTGACTGCATCAAATTGAGCGTGGCAAATGGGCGAGACAGCTATCCCCAACTCGGTTTACCACTTCCCAAAATTATTGCGGGGATGTCACTTGAATATGGCGAATATGTTTGCCAAATTGACAAGTTGTGTGCGGCGAGAATTCGTCTCAAATTGGCGCCCCATCAAGGCCCAAAGTTCAAAGAACTCTAATTTGCTTAATGACATTTTTGATTGGGTAGTTTTGGGTTTTTAATATTAATAACTTAATAATAAAGTATAAAAGCCAAATTATTTTTGGATGGAGAGGAGATAGGAGGTTTGCATCCAATGTTAAAATAACCAGGCTTTTAATTGTTTTATAAAAATTGTAATTTAAAATTTAAATTTTAATATGGTTCTGATAGCATTATCCCAATAAGGAAAAGTAAGGTTTTTGTTGTGTATTAGATTATTTAAACATAAACTCCAGAATTTTCAAAGAACTTCCTTTTTATGTTTTTTTTTTAATTATCAAGGATTACCTTTTATTGACACCTTGAGATTTTAATAGAAATATGAATTGCAAACACAGGAACAGTGATCGAAATTTTTCCAAAAAAATATTAAATCTAATGGAATACTCAAATTTTGTATCTCATTAACTATATTTCTTGTTAAATAAATATTTAAATTTTTTTATAAATGTTACATTTTGACTTGACAAGCAGTTACCATTTTCCCAAAAACGGTATCATCACCGAAACATGGTAAACTCTCTTGATTCCATTTCCGATCCAAGCAGCTTTCAACTTTCGCTGCATTCGAGGAGAAAATGTTAAGTTGCAGTTTTGGGAAACTAAAACAATATTTGGATAGGTCGAATGCTGTGGGATGGCGGCAGATATAGACACAGATACAGATACGAATGCGAATGGTCAGATCCGATAGAGTGGTAGAGTCGACTAGTAGAGCAGCAGGGATGTGTGGGATGGGGGAGATCGGACAGACAGGCAATGGCAACTACGTAAGAATAACATGAACTGTGCAAAAATGCACAGTCGTAGCCAGACAGTTACTCACAAAAAACTGCTCACACCCACAAAGTAACCCATACAATGGCAATCACGGCGCCGATGTCGAAGAAGAAAATTTGTTAAATCAGCAGCAGCAATCCTGAAATTCGAAAAAAAGAAAATAGAAAGAACGAAAAGAAGCCGGTAGGAAGCCAAATAAAATGCGTAAAATGGAGCAGATGGAGTCGCAGTCGCCTCATTCGAATTTCAAATGCAGGACTCCTCCTGCAAAAGGACATGGAATAACTGGACACACACATGTCGATTCGATGATTCATTGCCCATCTCCTCAGACAGATCGCATGCGAAAAATTATGTTAAAACAATACAAATATTTGTCAAAATAATGCGATTGCGTTAATAGAGCCAAATATTATTCTTGTATCAATTACCCAGACGAGTGGGGTTCTAAAGTGCGAACGAGATGGACAGCACTCAAATGCAAAGCGTTCTGCGTTTTTTTTGCAGACCGCCAAAGGAAAATAGAAATATAAAAAAATAGCCAGCATACTTTTAAATTATCCAAATATAAAACATACATTTGTTTGTTTTCCCTGTGTCTAATAACCAGACAAACACGCAGACCATCTCATTCCGCCGCTCACGCACATACCCACACACGCACACTTGCCCTTGCCCAAATAAACATATAAAATTTACTTTAAAGCTGACAAAGTAAATAAAAAATATTGTTTCAATAAGCAGAAAAAAAGAAATGAAGTCGGCGAAAAAACGGGAATGCAAGAACAACAAGGAGAGCGGGGTGAAGCGGGAAGGACGAGGGCAAAGGACTTTTTATACAAGCCTGCTTTCTTTATTTGTTTTGTATATGGGCCAGCAAACCCAGCAAATGTTTGGGCAAAAGGTGTGAATGAGTACCAAGTCAAAAAGGGATATTTTTGTATTGATCAAAAATGTAAATTAAATATTTTGATAAAGCTTATCTAGTCCCCAGTTATCAGCGGCATTAAAAAATAAACAAAATATAATTTATAAGCTTCTTTGGACTTTCAGAAATTCATCAGAAGTAAAAACTAGATTTTTAAATTAAATAATACTATTAGCAAAAATATTAAAATATTATAGAGTTTGGAAAACTTACAAAAAAAATTTTTACAAAACATTAAAGTTTCGACAACTTTATTATATCCAACTATAAGTAGCTATAGGAAAAAAAAATCACAACGTCTTAAAACTAAACTTTTTCAGTTCTTAATTATAATCATTTGATAAAAATGTTTAGAAACACCTATAAACCAAATTTATTTTAAAGAGCAGCCTGTATAATTTCTTCTTTTTCTACCCCAACGAAGGGTCGCTCCTAATTTAAGCGCCGGAAGAGGGAAAATGATAAAATACTTAATGCCCGGTCCTCAACGAAAACAAGCTTCAAACGTGGCCCTTAACTTGGGCATCTTGGCGCAAAACCCATCAAACTGCAAATTAGCAGACAACTTTTTGGTCTCTGGCCCCCGAGAAGCCGAACTTTAAGCTGAGATCGAAAAAACTTTGGGCACTAATTTATGCCGAAGTCGGAGGTGGGGAGTTAAGTGGGTTGTTTCGGGGTTTTCAGCCCTGCTCTACCCACCCACTTGTGCTGTTGGCTTTCCCAGGTGTCTCATCTATGTGTTGCCCACTCGCTCTCGCTTGTATTTTCTTAGTGAGAGCGAGGGAGAGAGAGATAGCCATGTGCCTAGGCCGTATTTTAAGCATTAGTTTGAACAACAAAAACACGGGGTTGGAAAAGGGAGGGGGGTTCGTTCTCAAAAGGACATCCACCGCAGAGCTAGCTAACTATTTTCCCCTGAGCAGAAAAAACCATGAATGGCGTCCGTCTCTCTCTCTCTCTCTCTGTCCTTTTCTCTCTCTCTCACAGATACTTTTTCACTTACTGACTGCGAGGTTGGCAGGGCAGCCATCGTTTGGTTGGCTACAGATACAGATACACCGTTGCGGATACATTATGCGGATACGGATACACACAGATACTTTCGTTCGCTCACTTTGAGATACTTTCTGGTGCGGGCGACGCTGCTGCCGACGCAAACGCTTCTGCTTCTGCTCGACGCGAGCTGTGTGTTATTTCAGTTACACAGATTCAGTATCAGACGTGTTACTATACCGAACGGTTCTGTTCTGTTCTGCGCTCGCCCTGCGCTCCCATTTCCCCTTGCAAGATATATATACAACCGATCCGTACTTATGTGCCCGACTTGTTTAAGCAAATATTATCGCTAGAAATAATAAGAAGCAGCAGCAGTAGTGATTGAAGTGATTGAATACGGGGAAAAAAAGAAAACCGAAGAAAAAGAAAGAAAATAAAAGAAAGTACGACAAGGCGGCCAGCAGAAATCCGCCGGAATCGCCGCCATGCATACGTTATTCAGCGACCAGAACTCCTTTACGCGGCACTACGCCCAGACAGCCGCCGGTTACGGATCCGCATCCGCGGTGGCGGCCGCCAGCAGTGCCTCAGCCGCAGCGGCGGCACATTACGCATACGACCAGTACTCCCGCTATCCGTACTCGGCCAGTGCCTACGGCCTGGGTGCCCCGCATCAGAACAAGGAGATCGTGAAGCCACCGTACTCCTACATCGCCCTGATAGCCATGGCCATTCAGAATGCGGCGGACAAGAAGGTGACCCTCAATGGGATCTATCAGTATATTATGGAACGGTTTCCCTACTATCGCGACAACAAACAGGGCTGGCAGAACTCCATCCGGCACAATCTCAGCCTGAACGAGTGCTTTGTGAAGGTGGCGCGCGATGACAAGAAGCCCGGAAAGGGTTCCTACTGGACCCTGGATCCCGACTCGTACAACATGTTCGACAATGGGTCCTTCCTGCGGCGGCGTCGTCGCTTCAAGAAGAAGGATGTGATGCGGGAAAAGGAGGAGGCCATCAAGCGACAGGCCATGATGAACGAGAAGCTGGCCGAGATGAAGCCGCTGAAGCTGATGACCAACGGTATACTGGAGGCCAAGCACATGGCCGCCCATGCGGCGCACTTCAAGAAGGAGCCGCTCATGGATCTGGGCTGCCTGAGCGGCAAGGATGTGTCGCATGCCGCCATGCTGAACTCCTGCCACGACAGCCTGGCCCAGATGAATCACCTGGCCGGCGGCGGTGTGGAGCATCCCGGCTTCACCGTCGACTCGCTGATGAATGTGTACAACCCGCGGATCCATCACAGCGCCTATCCCTACCACTTGAACGAGGACAACCTGGCCACGGTGGCCAGCAGTCAGATGCACCATGTCCATCATGCCGCGGCGGCCCATCATGCCCAGCAGCTGCAGCGTCATGTGGCGCATGTGGCCCATCCTCATTGACGCCCGGCGGCCAGGGAGCCGGGGGTCAATCCTCGGGACACTCGCCCACCACGATCTCAACGCCCCATGGACCGGCGCACGGGGGTTGGTACACCCCGGAGACCCCGCCCTCGGAACCGGTGGCCCACAATGGTCAGCAGGGAACGCCCACCCATCCGGGACATAACAACAATAACAACAGCAGCACCGTACTCAATCACAATGGAGTGGGAAACGGAGGAGGCGGAGGATCCTCCAGTGTCCTGACCAGCAGTCCCACCTCGGCACTCGGCTTCCGCGACATGATCTTCGAGCAGAATCAATCCTGCCAACTGGACAGCGGCAGTCCCACCGGCAGCCTCCAGTCCGCCAGTCCGCCCGCCTCCGCATCCGTGGCAGCGGCCTCGGCGGCAGCGGCGGCGGCGGTGATCAGTAGCCACCACCATCATCATCATCACCATGCGGCACTCAGCGGGAATCTCGGCCAGTTGGGTCAACTGAGCAACCTGAGCCACTACCGGCCGCATGTGGGTCACTACCAGGAGTACGGCATCAAGTACGGGGTCTAAGCTCCCGGATTCCCGGATTCCCGGACTCACAGCAGCTGGGCTCTCTTGTATATTCCTGTAAATATACCAAATAACCGAAAAAAAAAGAACGAGCCACAGCTGTCGGAGGATCCTTGTATCTCAGTTCGTTTTGTTTTCCATCTTGTTTTCTCGATTATATATATTATATTGTATTGTATACGAAAAAATCTAGGGGGGATTCTAGTTTGTTAAGCAACCGCATTATCGTATTAACTGTAATTTGTAATTGTAGCCCGTAATTGTTATCGAATTTAGGCTTAGTCCCAATTGTCTGCTATGCAATTTGTGATGAGATGGGGATGAGGACGATGAGGGGGTTTTGCTACACAGATCATAAACTTAACTTAGCGCATTTTGTCAATAACTAAAAACCAACTACCGCATCGGATCTATCGCCTAGTACACTAGCCTAGCCCACGTAAGCAATAATAAATTATGATAAACTAAATCGTAGATATAATATGATTATCAAAACTAGCGTACAACCAATATGAGCCGAACAAAAAAGTGTATTGAAAATATGTTAAAATATCTCAAATCGTGTGTTTTATTTTTTGCCCCTTTTGAAGCTTTTTACGATTTAACGAAACGGAATCGGAATGGCCATTCCATCTGGCCATTGGGCGCTGGCAAAACAGACTTTTTAACCCGAAACTGGATAGCAGACACACACGCAAAATTCCTAGATAAACAATTATTCAAGCCGTGTCCATTTCGAGGTCTGAATGGTTGAGTCAACGGGCTAATTGCCACTGGAAGATGGCTTTCTTGGTAGCCGTATCATATCATATGCAGCCGATCGAATATATTCAATTCTGGTGGATTTGCAAGTGGAGTTATGGGTATCTTATTGAGCGATCCGCTTGGACACTTCGTTGGAAGTAATTATGTATTCGATCTTTTACCTGGTATTTCTTCAACTTTTCCGAAACTTGATCAAATATTTTCTAAACCATGAGTGAGATGTATTTAGATAGCAAAGAAAGTTTTCACAGTTTATTTGCAGGTAAATAGCAAAACAAAAATCCTAAAAAAAGTAATATTTGTTTTCTAAAATTTAATGTTGGATTTGGAGACGAATTTTGTAATATTTTTTCTAAAAAGTGCAATTTGAAACTTTTCAAATTTTAAATTGAAAATCATGTCAATAACTGAGAGGTTTTTGATCCTTCACATGTTATTTTTTTCACAAGATCAGTTAACATAAACAGACCTGAAAAAAATATTTAAAAACTTGTTATATCTTTTTGATCTTAAGTAAGAAGTCCTTTAGACGACTTGTTTTCACTTTAAATGATCAGACGTAAATACAAATAATAAATATCCGATCATTACTAGAAGAATATATTTTAGTTTTTCTTTCTTTTTCTTTAAATGCTATTTAAAAAAGAAAATGTAAGCTTTCACTGAGGCTACCCCGAACAATGTCCAATAAATTACAAATCTTTAGTTAAGCAAACTGTGACCACAGTTTTTCCTGACGCCTGCTCCTAATTGCCCAACAATGGCTGCAAATTGGTAGAAAGTAAAACAGCAACCTGCGCAACATTCACGGTGAGTGCGAATAAAAATAAGAAGTATTTTCAGCTTATTAGCCAGCGAACCAGTTACCCAACTGACCGAAGATCGATTGATCGAGGGAGCCCAAAAATCGATAGATGGATCGCCACTGATTGATGGCCAAAAAGCGCTGCTGATTTGGGCGATGACTTATGTTCATGATGATATTTACGGGAAGCTTGTCATGGTCTCGTCTTGAGTCTCCGCCATTGTCACTTGAGTAAGCTCCGCTTGGCGCCACCGCGGCATTGAGATCGCACTCGGGGAAACATTTCGTAGCTCTCGATTTGTGGGCTAAACTCCGCTCAGGTGTTTCACAGCTTGACCCATGGGACACATGGAGGGCGGGGAAGGGGGATCTTCAGCTGTTGTTTTCAATGGCGGACACGGCTTGAAAGCCATCGTAGCCACAACAAAGAAATACCTGACTGGGTGGCATGTGAATGGCGCTCAAATGCCAGCCAAAAGTGTGCCAAAGACTGTAGGCCTGAAAGTGAGCTTCAAAAGGGGGTCTACACTGAGCACTAGATGTAGGTAGCCTAGACAGATTTTTATTTATTGTAAAATTCAATAAAGTGGCCTACACTGGGCAGCACAATTTTTACATTTTAAATCAAATTATTTGGATAATTCGAAAAACTTTTTAAATAACCAAAAATATCATAGGCCTTACAATTTTAGATTTATAGGCTCTGAAAATAAGCTTAATTCATAACTTAAAATAGGTACTTGAAGGTAAATAAAATTAATAATAATATAATATTATTAGTTTTATAAATTTTTATAAACAGTTTTCTTACAAAGTCATTCTTTCTGATCAACAAAATTTTATCAAGTGATTTTAAGATCTTTTCAAAAAGAGTTGAACGAATCCTTGAAATCAAAGTCAAGTTTTCAAAGCTTATTTTAAAAATCTTTAAAATGAGGAAATGAATCTAGAATATATATTTTTTGCGACCATTAAATATTTAATTATATTAAAGTTTTAGTTCAGTTCCTCTGGGATAAGAAACAGTTGATTTTAATTTCCCCCAACATTTTTTCAGTATATTAAATCTGAATATTTGGCTGGACAGCGTTCGAACGTGTTTGGTATGCAAATTCAGCAGTTTCGGTACCAAAAATATTCGGCTGCCTGGTTGACAACACAAAAATGCGAAGCCATCCGGACTCCATTCGGTGTCAAAAGCAACAAAATTAAATGCGAAAACAAGGAGAGTATGGGAGGGAGGGTATATATAGAGGGATATGGCGAGATATATGTTTGCTTCGAGTGCAGCCGTCGCTGATTGCCGATTGCGCGGGTGGTCCATCCAGAATTTACAAACCAGAATCCGGAATCCTCTGTTTCACAGGCGGAGGATAAGAAAAACAAATGCGATGGCGACAAAATGTTGCACTGTTTGCTTAGCGATAAGGACGCCCACACACATATGCACTTTGGATGGGACAGGGAAACTCGCAGGACAACAATGCCAAATGCCCAATAATCAAATCGAGTTAAAAGAGGGGGGTTTGGCTAGGGTTTGGGAGGTGGACATGCCGCTCACAAATATTGACAGCTGTCTATGTGGCTCATCGCGCAACCAGCCAGCGATTTACATAAATATTATTGCAAGCCTAATTAAATGCAAGTATTAGCCGGCCAGCTGCCAAATGTGTTGCACAAGGATTTCAGTATCTGCCGGATACATTGTGTTCTATTCTATTCTATGACTATCACTATGACTTGGCCCCCGGGAGATCCTTTGTAATTAACACTGCTCATTTTTCGCGCTTTTCATTGCAACCCCCAAAAACCACCACCCTCTAGCCCCCAAAACGCCTCAACCCCCTTGATATTTATTTACCTGGCCAGTTGTGTTGATGACCTGTTATCATTGCCCCGTTATAACAATAAATTCAGCGGTCGACGCTCAGCAGCGGTGACAACAACTCGCTTTTTCGATGATGATGACGTTGTTGTTCTTGCACGGTTTGCCGTTGTTTTGCCAGCTGTCGTTGCAATTAACCAGGCCATAATAGACAATGGCTCTAAAGTAAATTCATATCATATCGCCGGTTTAATAACCATACTCGCTTCACTTTCGGCGCAGGTCGGCAGGTCGGGATGACATTTGTAAATGGGTGTGGGAAAAAATTCTCACAAATTAATGAACGCAAATTGGTTCGTTTTTACAATGTGAAAAAGCTGAAATCACAATGGGAAAAATATGACAAGAATAAATTCAACTTGAGGGAGGCAAAAGGTAAACAAAGATAGTGTGCATATTTTAAGGAAAATTAAAAGATGCTGAAACAGAAAATGTAATTTAAATTAGATAATGTAAAATAGGTGAAATATTAAACTTAATTTAATGTTATGATTTAATTTACTTTAGGAATATTTACATATAAAGCAAGAAACTATTAAAGAAATAGTTTGAAAGTCATAAAATCTCTTGTTGCATTTTAAAACATATATTTGGGAAAAAACAGAAAACAGTTCCAAAACTTTATGGTTTCTGGGAAATCGGACTCCATATTTCACGATCAAATTCAGATTGATTGTTTGCTCTCCGCCGAATCAATTGAACTTTGTAGAAGCTCCTTTTACTCCACCAATTGCATCGAGTAAACTTCCGCTTCCCTTTGCGGCCCTTTGGGCTCTATAAAGGCCATAAAGCTATAGCCTATAGCCCGGTTTTAGTGCCCGGTGCCCGATGTCTGCTAATACACAATAACAACGACAAAAACAACAATAAAGGCAACTGCATTTTTATGGCATTAAACAAACTTTGAGAGCGTATGTTTTCGAACACTTTTGAAGTTTTATTGAGTTATAAATACGCAGAAATGACTTTGGAGTTGGCCAGCGTCGTCGGCCTTAGGCAGCAATTTTCAAATTAAATTTATGATCGATTTATGCAAAAACGCGAAAATCAGCGCCAGGCGTCGACATTTGAGTAAATTATCCATCTAGGGAGAAATGGGAAAATCGAAATGGGGGGAAAATGGTGGGCGAGGAGTGCAGAATTTATTGGCCGTCTAGGTTGCTCGAGCCCAGCGAACTTGCAACTGGGGGGAAATTTTGATTGACTGTTGGGCCTGGAACGCTTTGATCTGCGATCTCTGATGGGTGGATCGATGGATCAGCCGTGCTGCCCGGCGACGCCAGGAAAAAGCCGCTCAAAGTGCCATTAAATTGTATTCAAAATTATGGATTATCATCGGAAGCACTAATATTATAAACGAATTATTTAATTAATAATGTTTTTATATATTTAAGCTACTATATTTTATTTCTTATTAGCATAAATGACAGGGTTCTTATTTTTGTATTACTTAAAATATGTTTAATCTCAGAAATGCATATTAAAAATTTTATACAGATGAAATAAAATTATTTTAATTATATTTATATTTTTCAGGTTCTTAAAGGGTTTTAAAATATTTATATAAAAATAAACGCTGCACTAAATGGACAAATGCATACAAAAGCCATTTCTGCAAATATGAAGACCAATAGCAAACTAATTTCCTTTCGTATTTTCACCAGCAAAAACATAAATAGAATTAAGGTTAATTGCATTCTTCGAAATTTTCTGTTATTTTCGCACTAAAATTGTCTGAATTCGGCAATAAAAAGGCTGAACGGCCAGCACTGATCCTTTCCCCTTTCTGAATAAAGTTATCGCCCGGCCGAGTTGATTATCTATGCTGATGCTTGGTTTATTTGGCTTATCAGGCCTTTTTTGGCTTTGATGTCACTTGGGGTACATCATCATTCGGATTCAGATTCATATTCAGATCGATCAATTTGGTTGTGAGCGTTGTTTATGCGTCAGCCGGGCTTTGAATGTTCTTTTTTATTTGTACCCTGCTTTTTTTGGGCCATTTGATGCTGCCGCCGAAGTTGCCAACCAGTTGACGCGACATAAGAAAATAAATAAAATGGGGAATAACGAGAATTGCGAATAGTTTATTAGCCCCTTTCCC